CGTCCATATCGAATCTGACACCCTGTATATGTATATGTGTATACGTATAATACATATAATGTTATAATTGTTCATCTTGTAACTGTTAATTTTAAATTTTAAATTAGGCGAGATGTACCTGACGCAGCAAAACTGTATAACTCTAGCTGGCGGTATGCCAAATGTAGCAACGTATCCCATCAATAACATTTCTATAACATATAAGCATGATATCCCAATAAATCTGAGCAAACAAGAACTGTCTACAGCGTTACAGTATGGACCATCGCAGGGGTAAGTACATAATATCAACAATATAATGTATGGACTCTATTTTTCTATATAAAATAAAATATTAATTTTTTATAATTAATATTAAATGTTCCAAACTAATTTTATTTTTATTTAACTTTGTTTTACATTTGTAAAATATTTTTATTATCAGATTACTCTTATATTACTTGTCAATATATCACAAGCATTGCCATCATTTAATAGATAAAAATATAGATATCTATTTGAAATAAATGTATATTTATATTTTTCTTTTTGTCAAAGTTATCCACCATTCTTAGAAAAATGGAGGGAGTTCCAGAAAACGTGGCACACACCAAGACGAGACGATTGGGATGTCGCATTCTCGGCCGGTACCATGGACGCTTGCAATAGAATCTTTGAAATGATGATCGATGAGAATGATCCAATTATGATTCAAGCGCCAACGTACTCGGGCATAATCGGATCGGTTCGTTGTTTTAAAATAATATTAAAATAGAATAAATGATAGAGATAGAGACAGAGATGATATTAAAGTAGAAATTAATTATAGAGATGCCAAAAATACAAGTCTCTAAAAAAACGAACTTAAAACTTTAAAGTTTAGGTCTCATTACGATGTCAAATACACAACTGTACTTAAGAAAACAGTATAATTTTACATTGCTTATAGAATTGATGAATTTAATACAAAAAAATAAAATCTTTAATTTATTCTACTAAAACATATATGTTTCAGTGTAATGAATCAAAGATTTTATTTTTAGCATACACAGGGTGTCTAATAAGTAACTCATCAATTGAAATGTGTAGGTAAATTAGGGCAAACTAAAGAGAAAAGTCAAATAAAATAAAATAAAATAATTTAATTGATATAATAAAATAATTTAAAATAAAATAATTTATAAAAGCTTTCTCTCTCTCTTTATTCTTAGTTAACATTATTGTTACCGGACATTATAGAGATAAATCAAGATAGTGATGGGTTAATTCCCGAAGAAATCACCAAAGCATGTGAACAAAGACTTAAGGATGGTAGGCCGATGCCAAAAGTGAGTTAGAAAATAGCAATATTATGCCAAATGTTCTTTCCGAAATTGTAGAAAATAATAAGGAAGTAATTATTGTTGTCTCTCTACCTTTTTTATTCGTGACAAATTTTTTTACTTTACTTCTAATTCAAAAGCAATTTCAAAAACGTGTCGATACTTTCATTAAAAAGACAAAAATTTCAAGGAACTCGAATATCATAGAAATAATTTAAACATACAAATCTAGATGTTCAATTTTAGAAGACAGGAATCTGATTAAAAGGTATTAATAATTAATCACCTACCTATTTTAAATTAGTAGGTAATCTCAAGATTAATTCACTCGTATACTTGACACGTTTATTTTAAATTTATTTTTATTTATATTTGATTTTTATTTCGTTAATTTTTTATGCAATTGTTACCTTTCGTTAAAAAGTTATTCTCAGCTTGTTGTAATTTTCAGTTACTTTACGTCAATCCAACGGGAGCAAATCCTACGGGCACCGTTTTGTCAGAGACTCGTCGAAGAAAAGTATACGAGTTGGCACAGAAATACAACTTCCTAATCGTCGAGGATGATGCTTACTACTTTGTTCATTATCTGGATAAACAACCCACGTCGTTTTTTTCCCTCGATACTGATGGTCGCGTAATCAGGTTGGACTCATTTAGCAAGATTATGAGTGCTGGGCTTCGCGTCGGCATTATCACAGCACACAAAGATATTGTAGAGAATTTTGTCATTCAAATGGGAAACTCTGTTCTTCATGCGTCATCTTTATCTCAGGTAAAGCTCGACTTTCTTTTAACATTTTTTATAATATCTCTGAGTATTCTTTTAATGTATATTATAATGATTAGTATCATCATGAGCATTTTGTACACATATGCATGATACGATAAAGACTGTAGAGTAAATATAATTACGTCATAACGTTATCAGATTCTTATCTTATTTATTACAGAAATTTTGATAATCACGATTACATTCCATTGCGTATCTACAATTTCATCTTTTAACAAATTTTTAATGATGCTAATAATTACTTATCGTATATATGTGTGTATAACAAAATAATTTTATAACTCTCCTCTAGATGCTTCTTTACAAACTTTTTGATAATTGGGGACAGGAAAAATTTGAGCAACATTTTAAAGATGTTCAAAAGTTTTATCGGGAACGACGTGATACAATGCTAACCCTGGTGGAAAAACATTTAAAAGGTATGTTAAGTTTTTTACTGTTTTTCTGTATATTTTGAAAAATTTTGTCATTGTTATAGATCTAAAAAAATTTATTTAAAATATTCATAGGAAAAATTAATTAAAACTTTAAACCTTATTATTATATTTACTTCTAGCTTTCTCAACTATCTTAGATACTTTCTTTCCAAATTACTATTTATTGTTAAATTATATCCTTTTATGATGATTCTTTATACAAAAATTTTAATCAAAAGAAAGTTGAGTTAAAACTAAAAAATCTAATTTTATAATTTCCTCTCTTTTACAATTTATTGTTAGTTTAACGACAGTATCAAAAGTTTTGATTTATTCAAAGTGTCCCAATATATTTTGCAAGAAAAGTAATTTTTAATTTTCGATCAAGTAATTCATAGGTAATAAATAATTTTTTATCTATGAATCCTCCTATTTTAATCTTTGTTAACCTAAATTTTAACGGTAGCTTTGAAATCCTTATATAAAATCAATAAAATATTTGGTTAGATGTGGCAGAATGGTACGTACCCCAAGGTGGACTGTTTCTTTGGATTAAAGTAACAGTTGCAGATGACATACGGGATTTAGTGATGAACAAATGCGTGCCGCAGGGTATTTTTGTTCTTCCCGGAAGTGCCTTCAATTATGATGCTTCAAGACGCGATTGTCATTTGAGATTGAGTTACAGTTATGCTTCAATAGAAGAAATAGATAAAGTAAATTTGAAACTTAATTTTTTTTACCTATCAAATTTTTAATAAATTTAACAATAAAAAATTTTTTAAATTTAACAATTTTACTAAAACAATTCGTATGAAACAAGAATATCTTAATCTAATTCTTACAAATTGCAAAAAAGAAAATATCAATAAGTAAAAGTAAAAATTTAAATATTTTTCCTAAAATGTTTACTTTCTTCTTATTTTGATAACGTAAAAAAATATCAGTTATGCGTACGTTTTCAATTTAAAGTGTTCATTTTTTTCAGGCATTATTTGTAGTAGCTAAAGCAATACGTGAAGAAGCAGCGAAAAAAGGTATTAAATGAAAAATTATTTTAAATATTACTTGAAATTATTATTATTAACTTTGTGTTGAAAGAAAATATTAAGTAATTTTTAAATATCTACTTTCAACATTTTAGAAAAATAAAAAAATAATAAAAATAATCACATTAAATTTTGTTAATATATATTTCTTTACATTTTGTATACTATTATTGTATATTCATCTTGCTGAAAATCGGTAAGTAGAAAACTTATTAATAGAGGAAAGTCCCCTATTATGAGATGAAATCCTAATACGGGATAGCGGGGTTCCACCCACTTCTAAAAAAGGCATGTAAGTCGATTAGTCGCATATCTCGAAGTATTGTTGCCGCTTTTCCGCGATGCTGATTGGCTATCTCGCTTATGCGATACGACATGCTTCAGTCGTGTTATTTGCAGCTGTCAAACCATGCGAATTTTTAGAGAGAGCAAATGGCGCGCGCTTGTCCCTTACTAAAAAAGAGATGTTACCAGCGCGAATGTCGTTAATATCGAACAATTAAGGCCCTTCTTCGCGATACCGATTTATTTTCTCGAAGCGCGATGTACTTCACTTCTCTTTTAGGTTCAGAGTAAATGAAGGTTTACAATTTAGATATACTAGACATGACAGAACGCGCGCTTCGCGCGCGCTGTTTATGGTCAAGCATTGTGTATTTTTAAGAATTTGTACACACGCGAAGAGAGAGAGAGAGAGAGAGGTAATTATATGCGCAACGTCACTTTAAAATAAAAAGTAATATGTCACTCACTGATACGAGTCGCAACAACAAAGTTGTACATCGCTAACTATATATGTTAAACTCTAACAATACAAAAATGTATACGATTATTATAGACTAATTATGTAAAATCCAGACTATTGTATTAAATATACTTTATATTTAATATTTTTGAAAATGGGTATTTATTAGAATAATTATATAGAATACTGAAAGTCTTCCTTTTAAATATGAACTCACAAAATTTTATACGTATGGTTTTGTCTCTTATGCGTGGTCTACAATACGTGGAGTAAGCGTGGAGTAAGGAGTAAGGGAGAGCCGTAACTTCTAGCTTTTGGTGTAAGGAAGCTGAAATACGGGCATGATTTTTAAAATAATTGTAACACTGATTGATGGCATTTTGATTCACCGAGAGTAAGCTTAAGAGCTGAAGTAGGAGTAAGAAATAAAATGGATTTATTTCCTTACTCCTACTCCTTACTCCAGCTTACTCCATGTATTGTAGACCAGCCTTAACACTTATTCGAATCCACGTTCGAATCATTTGAATAAATAAAATAAAAGCACAGAACAGATGCTTTATTTTGCATAATTAGCAAATAACAAAACTGTAAGACACTTACCTTACGATTTCTCTGCCGTTGCCCGATGTCGCCTAGGCCCTGCTCCTCTTCTCAGATTTTCTTGTTGCACTTACACTCACAACACTCACTCGCGAAATTTCGGACACTCCCATACGCGATGTAAAATACCGTGAAATGCAGTAAGCGACGTTCTTTACTTTCTGCCCGTTCGAATTGCGAAGAACGACAGAGCGAATTACGCCGTGAACGCCGAAGTCGCACAAATTTCTCTCCCCGAAAATGGAACAGATTGCACGAAATCGATAGATAATTAAAAGCGCGGTGCGTAAACGAGATGTAACCGCGACAAAGTACCACGGTTTACATTCATGTTTTAGATGAGTTGGTCTCGTGAAATATCTATATACACGTCGCTTCAACATGCAATTCGTTTCTCATTACAAGTTTTAGAATCTTAATAATTAATCGAGTAACGTTACTTGTCACTGATAAAGGTGTACAAATCAATAGCGTTTTATCCCTACATTCTTCGCGATCGAGTCTTGGAAACCGGTAACGTCAAAATAATATCACGCACGGAACAACTCTCGCTGCTGCCTGCCGGCTCGACGTTCGGCGAGCGAGTGATAAGTACGGAATTTTCCATTACGTAGATGGGCCAACGAATTCTCAACGTTTTTTTTGTTGTTTTTCACTCGGCGCGGTGACGTACGATGTTTTTGCGTACCATTATTGTACTTGAAGGTCGCCGCGTTCTCAGTCGCTCGCCGAACGTCGAGCCGGCAAGCAGTGGCGCGAGTCGCTCCGTGCGTGGTATTGTTTTTGCGTTGTCGGTTTCCAAGACTCGATCGTGAAGAATGTAAGGATAAAACGCTATTGATTTGATTGATTGGACTCCTTTATCAGTGACGAGTAACGCTACTAGATTAATTATTAAGTTTCCATAACTCATAATGAGAAACGAATTGCGCGTTGAGACGACGGCTCTTTATCAACGTGTACATGGATATTTTACGAGACTAACTCATCTAAAATAAGAAAGTAAACCGTGGTACTTTGTCACGGTTACATCTCGTTTACGCACCGTGCTTTTAACTATCTATCGATTTCGTGTAATCTGTTCCATTTTCGGGAAGAGAGAGATATTGTGACTTCGGCGTTCGCGCTGTAATTCGCTCTGTCGTTCTTCCCAACTCGAACGGGCAGGAAGTAAAGAACGTCGCTTACTGCATTTCACGGTATTTTACATCGCGTACGGGAGTGTCCGAAATTTCGCGAGTGAGTGTTGTGAGTGTAAGTGCAACAAGAAAATCTGAGAGGAGGAGCAGGGCCTAGGTGGCATCGGGCAATGGCAGAGAAATCGTAAGGTAAGTGTCTTACATGTTTTTTATTTGCTAATTGTGCAAAATAAAGCATCTGTTCTGTGCTTTTATTTTATTTATTCAAATGATTCGAACGTGGATTCGAATAAGTGTTAGAGACAAAACCATACGTATAAAATTTTGTGAGTTCATATTTAAAAGGAAGACTTTCAGTATTCTATATAATTATTCTATAATAATAAATACCCATTTTCAAAAATATTAAATATAAAGTACATTTAATACAATAGTCTGGATTTTACATAATTAGTCTATAATAATCGTATACATTTTTGTATTGTTACAGTTTAACATGTATAGTTAGCGATGTACAACTTTGCTGTTGCGAACCGTATCAGTGAGTGACAAATTCCTTTTTATTTTAAATTGACATTGCGCATACAATTACTTCTTCGCGTGTATACAAATTCTTAAAAATATACAATGCTTGACCACAAACTGCGCGCGCGAAGCGCACGTTTTATCGTTTCTAGTACTGTTAAATTAAAAAACATCATCGGTTGAATCCACCATGAATTTATTGCCCTTGGAGCGAAATCTGTTCAGTGGAAAATTCATTATTGGATTGTGTAATTGTTGCGAAAAAGGATTTGTGATTAAATTTGGGTGTTGTAACAGCTGCTATCTTACAATATTGGACTTTCCTCTGCATTTATTTACGTATAGTACTTTGTATGCCATCTACGTTGGAAACAATAAAATGAAGCTCATCGGTAAATTACTAACAAACGTTTCCGAACATGTAATTTTTTAAAATACTTTTTCATTTAATTATCATGTTCTTTGTTTCTCTATCGATCAGATACCATTAAAAATCAACAATAATCTGCATAGTTCAAAAAATTTGTTTTGTTGTAAAAGAACGGTAAGTTAAACCGACGTGGATAACTACAGAAATTTTTATATAGAAATGCACCATGCCAGAAATGCTTCATAAAAGCATATGTTCGTAAAAAACAACAAAATTGTAATTTATAAAAATATAAGTTATGAATTTAGTAGTGAAATATATATTAATTTATAACGAATACGACAATATAGTCGGTAATGTCAGTGTTCTCTTCGTACCTTTACTCCTGGCTGAAGGTCTTTAACCCCTAGAACGTACTATTGATCCGTACAACTGCTGTTCAAATAACGTCCAAAAATACATTCCTTTTTTATATCCTTTACTTTAAAATGATTAACTCTTTGATAAAAGAATATTTTCTTATTTCGCAATCTCATTGTCTTTATTTAATTACTGTAGAATTAGATCTTTTTAAATCACAATTAAAATTATTACTCCTGTAAATAGTAATTGGAAAATTTAACGTGCCGATCCATATATTATACTAAATAATAGAGAAAGTCGTGTTAAATCTCGAAAATCAATACTGTCTCGTCGGTGGCTCGTAATACAGACTGGCTCAAAGGATAAAATAGCAGCAACGCGTTGTTAGTTTATCAGCAATCCATAATTTAAACATTGCAATTACAATTGCAACGTTTATACATATGATATATGTAATGTAATGATATATGTAACATTAGTAATACAGTTATGTTGAAACATGATCTCGCATCCGTTGCTCTCTACTTTTATTTATACATTTTCATTCAAAGTTTATGAATTACCGATGGACGAGATATATCCAAATGTCAAGCTGTTTTGTATCAAATATTATAAACGAACGTTATAACATTCAATCCACAATCCTGAAATAAACTACTGTAATATGTTCTTATCAATTTTTATAAGGCGAGAAATGTCACTCGAGAATATCGATAAGAGATGTCGCCTAAGTCGAGATTAGTGTCAAAAATTTGATGTTTAGCAGACATTTGAGCCTTCCTACGACAATGATAGGCGAATAGCGAATTATCGGTGACAGGACAAAGAAACACTACGATCTCGAATCCTCTCGTTTCGAATCCGCGCCTCCCTCGTGCGTCGGAGAAGAGACTGCGGTCCGCCACGACAATAAAAGATCTATTATGTTTAATTGAACAGATAAGGAGAGAATTAATTGAAGATCTTAGAGCGGCGACATTACAGCTGCCTCGATACTCGTTCCACCCCCGCGCGCGATTCCTCTCGGGTCAACGCGCACCGACCACCACTACCACGCTCCCCCGAGAGCGACAAATTGCGAAGTTACCCCCTCCCTCCCTCCCTCGGACGCGACACTTATAGAGAATTAATAGCGGCTTTTATTGCGAGTTCTCCAAGTAACTGGCGGAATTGCCAAAAAAGTTTAAGTCGATCTATGTCGACGGCGACGCAGGCGCAAACGTGCCGTTTCCATGGCGCCGTTGCTATACAGTTAGGTAATGTTGGATTAGACACTACGCCGTTTTCCAACCCTCTCCGGGTAACGCTCAGTACACCCTAAACCATCGTCGCGGTTAGAGGATCTCTCGCACCTTCGTATTCGCACACGTGCATATAGACACACGCAGGCACGCAGGCCGCACGCATATTGTACCCATACGCATACACGCGCATAATACATAAGCGCGTACGCGCGTACACGGTGTACCATACGCATGCACCAGCGTAGCGTCCACCCACGCACCCGAGGGAGAACGCGTGGCTGTTTAACCCCCCTGTTTACGACCCGGCCCGTCCGCGGCCTGTGTACTCGCTAGCTCGTTTGTTTATTCAATCGTCCGCACACCCTGCACCCCGGTGCTCCTCCGATCACCGCCAGTGATTTCCATTCATTTCGCACACATACGCGCGCGCTCTCACCCCCCGGTCCCTCCTGCTCCCAGACTGGTGTTCATTTATCGTCGCGCCCGCTCCGTCCCTCGTATGCTACAGTGAAGTTACGAAACATACCCCCGATAATCTCACGTTGATTTATGTATGTGCCGCAGCTTTTTTAATCGCATTCCCGCCGCGTCACGTACCAAGTCACGGTCTCGCTCGGCTCCAGCCGGACCGAGTACTTTTGCACCCCCTCGGGGTGCGCTTCAACGTCACCGCCACCGGCGTGGACCCTAAAATCCAGGCTGCGTGCACGTAACCCAGCACAGTGTCGTGGGACGAAAGTGGCGGGTGGTGTGTTTACTGTGGTGGCGGCGAGGGTATTATCCTGACGAAACTAAAACTGGTCAGGTCAGTAACACGGGGTGAGTCGAGTCGCTTGGTATCTCCGCATCGCGCGAGCATGTCCCAGTGTTTTTCATTTTCTTCCTTTCGTCCCGGCCTTCGTGAAAATTCAGTACGCCTTTAGCGTACCTAAACGATTTCAACAATCTTACGTATATTTCAAGTAATCCTCTCGAACTATTTCTTTTTTCTTTTCCTTTAAGAAAATGCTTATAAATTCCCTCTGTACGCAGAGTACGGAACGTTCCCTGGTAGCTAAAATATCGAGGGAATTTTAGTCTGGCACATAGCTCGGCATGAAAATACCAGTATAAATAAATTTAAGCGGTTCGTTGTTTTTGCACTCTTTTCGAATTTTTCCAGCAATAATACAAAAATGTCTCTCTCTCTCTCTCTCTCTCTTTTATTTCTCAGAAAAAATTGTTATAAGAATCTATGCAAAATTAAAAATACTCCCGGCAATCGTGTAAAGTTTACCGTTATTTTACCTCGTAATTTATAAAATTGCTTTTAAGCGTGAAAAGGAAACAAAGAATGGAAAAACGAGGCGGAGAGAGAAATATAATCTTTTTAATATACGCGACATTACAATGTATAATAATATATATTTGCGCGCTGTATGTATTTCATTATTATTGCGTGACAGAGATGCACATAAAATTAATTAAATCTCACGAATGGTATAATTTCCAGCAATTAAAAGAAAAACAAGCGGCATACGCTGGCGTCATCTCTAACGTGCGTTTCATAATAAAAGTGCCATATTACTTGGCAATTTCTCTGAAAGCGTGTATAAAAAGGCCCGTATGATTAGCGAATCGAACATAATTACGCGCGCGTTCCGCCTAACGGTTTAATTACCGATAAATCGCGCGGTCCCGCTCGTATCCCACATGTGCAGCCGTCGTCGCGTGAAAACACGCGACGCGACGGCAGAGCGGCTTTTTTCTCGCCCTAGATTTTCGACGCTGACGCGCGCCGGGGGAGCGCGGGAACGAGCGTCCCCGGCCACATTTACAGAAACATTAGAGAAATGATCGATACACGACAGGTCGCTATGACAAAAATAGACGAATGTTCGTAATGCGTCCGCATAGAGGTAAATATGTTCCGCCACCGCCGCCGCCGCCGCCGCCGCCGTGTGCACCGGCTATGTATAGAATGGTAGATAGGCATATGCGCGTATAAGGGTGCGTGACGCGCGACACGGCGGGGTCGCGCAGGCGCTACCTGTAGACTCCGCGGAATACGTGATGATAAATACTAAATTTAACCTCCGGGTGAAACGGCGCGACGTCAGGCTATCCGGATCGATAACACTTTTCTGGCGTCTCCCTTTCTTTTTTTATCGGCGAAACGTGACTTCGCGTATGTAGGACGTTTATGTATATAAATCGTTGACCGCAGAGGTCGGCGGAGGCGCGTACCCCGTCCGTGTGATACACCCGATACCTATCGTGTGACAAAGCCTTTATTAAAATTCCGCAACGCTTAAAATTCCGCTATCGGACCGGGACAAAAATTTGCGCGAGGATACATCGGGGACACGGCGGAGAATGTTAACTATCCGGGCACTTGTTAGAAAAATAGGGCCTTAAAATTTTGATTGGATTTTTAGTATAGCCGAAATGATCCCTCCCTTTTTTAATCAGCAGCGTCAAAAAATGTTATGCATTCCACTAATTAAAGCCCCCGGCTTGCATTTCATAATTACAATACATGGCCAATATACATATTAAAATTAAGCGCAAAATATTTCCAGGGTCGACGAATTACGTAAAGTTGTAATTTATGCTGCACGCGTTAATTAACTAATTTTTAATGAGTTATGTTTTATTAATACTTTGTTACAAGTTCCATACTGTAATAAACTGTTATAATTTAAACATGGAATATTAATTTTCGTTCCAATTTTCTAACAAAATTTATAAGCCCTGCAACATCTATTTAAAAATATTCCAAAATTATATCTATTTAAAAAATTTAGCTTAATTTTATTTGTTGAACAATGATTGCACTTCAATTAGCCACGTTTTTAAATATTTTCAAATTCGCTATGAACGAATATTAATATAATATAATAGATATTGTTAAGTAATTTATTATATTAATATCTATTACATTAATGTTGTAACAGATATTAATAAACATTATTTATCTCACATTAGTCGTAACATATATTCATACGTTAATAATTGGAATCCTATAACATCATTAAAAGCTATTACATACCATTTAATGATAAATTTATTTAATTGTGTAATAGAATATATAATCGGTCCTTTATATAGGTATCTACATTGCTCTTCATTCCATGAAAATGTTCTCTGAAATATCAATATATTTCCGCCTATGTCACATACTTTCACATATATGTGTCATGCATTTCACGTATGAGAAATTATTAATATAATTTCAACGAACGTAATTAAGCAATGTACATTATTCAGGGAAATTTGAGGATAATCTATCTATCAAAGGCAATACTATTCAATCGAAGATAACGTACATGTGTAATCCATGCCGTAATATTCCATAATATTCCCTTAACTCGAAGACGCGATGATCGTGCGTAAGATATGACTGCAAATATTGTTCTATTTATTCTAGCTCGAAAAAAAAAGAAACGCCGGAATGGCCGGGGAAAAAGATTATAATTATTTGTATTCGAGTCAAAAGAAAGTAGAAAGCTGCCTAATTTATAAAAGACATCATCTCACTTTTTCCATTGTGTACCTCAATCAACAGTCGCAAGGATGAAGGCAAGGGTAATTTAAATTACCATTTAAAAGCTCAAATATATTTAAAAAGTCAGCAAACTTACATTTATTGTACAAGTTTATAAAACACAGATTACACACATTATTGTTATAATAAATTGGAATACTACTATTCGTTCTATGAAGAAACAATACGAACAATACAATGATATTGTACGAATTGAGTGCATGCACTACCTCATTCCCCCTATCTTGTTCTCCTATTATTTTTTTATTCAGCAACATCTGATATCTCGGGAATATCTTTCTTGAGTCTCGAGCGAATTGTACCGTCACCTTTATTCGCACACAGTCTGTCGACAAGCTTAGGGTTTGCTGTCTTCAAATCATACGCCAATCCTAACCAAGCCATGAAATCTATAAAGGCGGTAGTTACATTGAGACGGTAGAAGCCAAGCTCCGCAGCCTTATAGTCCCACGGGAAGCAATGATGGTAATTGTGCCAGCCCTCGCCGACAGCAAAGAAGGACACCCAGCGATTCTCCGTTGACTTAAGGGTACTAGAACAAGAAAAGGAGAAAGGGAAGTTTCGTCGCTTGATCTGGGTCGACTACGAACGAACTTTTGCCGGAATATCGTGCAACAGATTATTTAAGCGGAACAACATCTTATTAAGTTCTATCTGCTACGGGATACAGATGTAAAATACATTTTGATAAACTTCAATCGCTATTTACAATACACTTACAATACGTTAATACGGAGAGAATTTTCTCTTAAAATTTATCCCAAAATCCCAAAAATCATGTAATCGTGGGACAACATAGTATTTCGAAGGATTTTATGAGAGTTTTTGAAATTTTAACATACTTTTTACTAGTAATTATGCTTAGTATATATTGTGGTACTAGTAAAATGTATAGAAAATTTTCAAGAAACTCTCATAAAGTTTTTCAAAATGCCATGTTGTCCCACAATTACATGATTTTCAGAGTAAAGTTTGAAAAAAAATTTCTCCCTGTACACGTGCTTCATTTCAAGAAGCAGAAATTTAAGAAAATATTGAGATTTCCGTAAAATTTTCTATTTCTTATAATAGATATTGATTTGTTTTATGACTAGAAATGGATATGGTATTCTCTAAAATAAAATGGAAATCTTGGAACCTACTTAGTAAATATTAATTTTCAACAATGTTAAGTAATGTATTATGGGAATAATGGATAGTACAATAATTACTGAAACTTGAAACTTCTTTAAAATAATAGATGTATTTAAGGAGTATCAATTAAAAATTATATAACAATATCAATTATCGATGTTACCATTAAAATACCATTTAACCTAAGGATATGTTCCGCTAGTTCCGTTTAAATCCTTATTAAACTGTATCGAAATCTCTAATCTTTTATATTAAATTAAAATTGTTCTCTATATTTAAGCACGACTCGAACATTATATTCGCCGGCTTGAATGATAATCGTGTAAACGTGAACCCATAAGGCTGACGCGTACCTGTTGTATGGTTTATTGCCCCACAAGTGAGCGAAACTATTGACGGAGAAAGTAAAATTTAACGAGAATACGTAGCGGATGATCACGCTGCTTATGCTTAACCTCCAGGTTTCATTCCATAGGTAAATTGGTATCAGCGTCGGTAGGATAAAGCACATTGGCACCATAAGTAGCGGGTAAAACCTGCAGTAAAGAGGCGTCAGTGAAAGTTACACACATACAAAGTTCAGTAACGGCGTAACGGCATCTCCTTCCTTTACGACCGTATGTTTCAACTGCATGAATCAAAATAAATTGCAATACTGGCGTTCAATTCCGCTCTCTGATGAGACATTTTACAGATTTAACGAAATGAGGGAGATTGATTATTACTCAGCCTCCCTCATCTCGGGGAACAACGAGTCACGCAATTTCAAACACTTCAGATAATTGAGAAACGATCTCGCGAACGAAACCAATTCAATAATTGTGGTCTCTTTTTATAAATGTCAAACCCCCGTTTCCCGTTTGCTTTTATACAATTTTGAATGCAAATCGTATAATATTATCCACTCCTTGTTCTTCACAAGCGTCACTACAATTTCTCTTTCCTTTTATTTCAACTAACTGAATATAATGAGGAATTCGTGGTACTTTATTATTATTATATTTATCACACACATGCACACAGTATATTTTCTCATTTCGCGCTTTCTTATATTACATAGGAAATTTATAAGTACACGGAAAAAATTAATTTTGCTGTGATAGCAAAATCGCCGTTGCTACTGCATATTCGTAGTAATAGCAATAAAATTTAGTTGATAGAACTAATTATTCGTCATTATAGCAAATTTTGTTGCGAGAATAGAACAAAATTCGCTGAGTGTATTTGTAATTAAAATCACATTAATTTGCTACTGAAGCAAAATAATATATTCTTAGCAAATACATTTGCTGCCACAACGAAATAATTTGTTAATCCAGCAAATTATTCCAGCAAATTGCGATTAGTATTCGTAACAAATCTTCTTGCTATCCATATAGTAACGAACAGAATTTGCTACAACAGCATAAAATCTGCTGTGTCAGCAAATTATCTTTCTCCGTGTAATAAAAATTATATTCTTTATAGTTTGAATGAATTTAAAAAATATTTATACGATAAGAATAATCTTTATTTCTTGTAAAACAAAGCAATCGATAGAATTCCATTAGAGATAGGACATTTAAAAGATTATACTATGTACGACGATTGATGGTGATAGAGACTGACATGTGCCAGTAAATTCACTCAACCGTAGTCAATCGTTGCAAGTCACTCACGCAACTGCAATTAATTATACAGAGTGTCTCATTTTAAATGATCCACGCAAATATTTCCAAAAATATAAAAGATACGGGAAAACGTTTCAAACAAAAGTTATTTGGTTCAAAGGGGGACATAAGATTTTTGTGTATGTAAATTTTATGTACAATACACAAAAATTTTCAATAATTGAAACACTACTGCAACAGTATAGTCTTGAGACTAAATCAAGTAAAAAAAGTCCTGCACTACTTTTCCCTGCAACAAACAGTTATCGAGATATCATAAACCAAACATTGAAACAGTTATAAATTTTCTCTTGAATATCTCAAAAAGTATTAAGCAAATCAAAAACTGTTTCAGACAAAAGTTGTTCATATTAATTAGTAGAATAAGATAGTACAATAAACACTAGGGGGTTCCATTAAAAAAATTGGAGGTGACTTTTACGTGACCTTCAAATGACTGTCCAAGATCAAGTCAATGGCACCATCTTATATCCCCCTTCGAACCAAACAACTTTTGTTTGCAACGTTTTTCCGTATCTTTCATATTTTTGGAGATATTTACGTGGATTATTTAAAATGAGACACCCTGTATATCTCGAACGTTTCATCGCAAATAAGTAAAGTATAAGTCGATAGCTTTGAATGCGCTGAAATTACTCACTTGTCGACAAACCGTATAACAGGATCGGCAGAGATATCGCTCATATCCACATTTTTACCATATTCCTTGACCGCCGGATGATGCTTCATCATTAACCAGCCGACGTGTGAGAAGAAAAAGCCGCGATGAGAATTATGCGGGTCCGCGCACGTATCCGTGTATCTGTGATGTATACGGTGGACACGAAGCCACTTAGACGGATGAGTCTGCAAAAATTCGAAGCTTGATAATTAGATCTTAATAACTAGTTCTGCAACGAGCAGAACTAATTGTAAAATTGCATAATTGCAAAATTCCAAATCAAGACGTTTGAAGTTTTTAATAATAAAATATACTTTAACAACGATTGCCATATTAGACCAAAAGGTATTAACATCGCAATGGAAATACTTTCGAATTGGTGAATGTAGCAAATAAACACATTACAATCACAGAACTAAATTACAGCTTTCTATTAACGAAAGTACAGGCAATAAGAGTAAATGTTTCAAAGTTATCTTTGGGTTACTGTGTGTGTCTCAATTATCTGATAATTGCACCCATATTATGAAAAAGTGAACCTGCTTGAAAGTAACAACTTGTGGTAAATTATGGTAACTTTTACCGAGGCTGTCACTGTAAACAAATTTTTCGCTATCGTAGCTAATCACGGTTTTCTGAAAATATTTTAATGCCACAACTATAAATTTCTAGAGCACAGCAAATGATTTGCTGTCGCGCCTAATACAATAGGCACCGTAGCAAAATATTTAGTCATCACAACTAAATATTAGTCGTCCACATTTTACAACTGAAATTTAGTTGCCACATGCAGTTTTTAGGTATAAGCAGCTACATTTTCTTGTCCGTGATATAACTGAACGGATTACAATTGTAAATTTAAGGATCTTACCTGGCCGGCCGAACAGAATAAAGAAATAAGCAGTATTCTGAGTGGTAATTTAGCACTATAGCTCCTGTGTGCCCAAAGACGATGAGCTCCAGCTGTTATGCCGACACCACACGTGAATAAATGTGAGATTGCTGAAAATAAGCAGAAAATAAAACAACAGCGATATATCAAATTTATTATTTTATTGTGTAACATGTAATGACTACTAATGACAATAGTGACAGTGATGCGAGAACATTAATGTTATAAGTAAATGTCATAATATCAAAATAATCTTTTACTTACAAACGTTAAAAAATAAACAATTCTGTATGGATTAAATGTAAAATGTGCAAAGAAGTAATGTAACTTTATTTTTCAATTAATTTCAGTTTAACATAATTTTAATTGAAAATTTGTCCACCAAAATCTCTAATTAAAATTTGAAAATATTTTTGAAAATAAAGAAAAACTGAAAATTAAAGATACGGCGAGCAATAAATTTGATATCTCGGCTGAAAACAATTTTTAATTACAATTTTACAAAAAAAACACGCATTTATCTTTTCACTTCGATATATTCGACATGTTATAAATAGCATCGAAAATATACATACATACGTATGTATGTATACCTGTTCATGTATTATAAACAAAATTGTGATAGAAAATTAGTTGTTTTAATACATACACCATACCCAGGTCCAAAATTTAAATAAGTGTATTTGTGTCACGAACAAATAAAGTGCAACGGCATGAAGAAGAGCGATGCCAATGATATTAAACCAAATTAATGGCTGCTCCCCTTCCATGTGTTTCGGTGGTTGATTGAGAACTGAATCCTTGTCATTTTCCGTTTCCGGCTGTGTTAACTTTCGATTCTCATCGTCCACGTATTCGGCTAACGTTGAACCCGGCATTGCTGAAAATATTTAGAACAGCATTGGCATATATTTAGGTATTTATTTTATCCGCGTTATTTATCTCTATCTCGCGAGTGTTTATCTAAATATTGTATATCGCGAAAAAAAGACTCAAAAGAAATCGTATTTATTTCAAGAGAAGCGAGTGTAATAAATCGCAGTTGGCTTTTCAGGTTTTAACAAATCTTTATTTTATTCTATTGTCAAATCTTTATATAAGTACCTATTAATTTACAAAGCTATTGGTCGTGCATAATGCTAAAGAATTGTATTTTCACAAATTTACAAACGTAACGTAATAAAATATATTACTTTCAAAATAGATCAGAAGTCTATGAAAATTTTCATGATCAATGTGATCAACGTAAAATTGAATTGAGAATAAGCTGGCGTAGTAAGAAAAATAAATCGTAAATCTACCTCGCCGTGAAATATTAAGAGATCGAATTGTTAAGAAAGTTTTTCTTTTAAAAAGTCAATCGTTATGTAGGTCGGAAAGATAAACGAGTCAATTACGTTGCATAACAGGTCATTTGCAAAATTATCCGGCGAGGACACGATCCGAGTGTGGATTTCGTATCGGTCTCATTATAGAGCGATCTCGTGTTAACAAGCGCCCATTGTTAGCTGCATAACTGCCGCCTCGATGTCCCGGCGCGTAATTATCTGCATTAGACGAGCATCTAAATCGCAGGCATCGACGAATGAGATGTGTTTCTCGATGAGAACTCGAGTGTACGTCAATGTGCGATACGCGTCCCGTATCGCCGCACACCGTTATAACGAGCGGTAATTTCAACATACGCGACTCTCTCGCGGCAAAGCGAATAGCATTCCGGCACTCCCGCACGAAATGCAAGAGAGTGCAAGTTCGTGGTCAAGGTAGTTAACGCGTCACGCATTGCCAGCCGATTCGTTTCGCCGAGACGCGTTTCACCAAGTCTGTCATGAAAATCAACGCGAACGATATGAAATTTAAAACGCTACGATGCCGACGCCACGCTCTTGTGATCCCGACGAGTCAACACATACATATTTATGTGTATGATAAAAAAGTTTTGTAATAAAACCCTTTGCTTTACACGACTCAAATATATCTAACATCTCAGTCTATAACTAGTGAAACCTACTTAATATGCACCTTCTAAATGCGCGTTCGCAAGTCTTACAAATGTATCGTATAACAAGTATGCCGTAGAAAGTACAATTGAAACAAAAAGCTCGCGACGGTAAATCTTAAATGTAACGACGCATGCGAATTAATAATTAATTGTAGGTTTTTATGTGGCAACGCGTTCACTTTTGATTGATATGAGGGCGATTATAAAGTATACATACTAAACGTAAGAGTAAAACCTTTCGATGAAATAGGCGATATCTGCTTCTTGTAATGAACTATCACTTCCTGACATGTAGTCGTGTTTTGATACAATCAATATTTAGTCTCGATGTGATTATAGTGTAGTTCTGACGCGAATATAAAAATTAAATGATAAATTTGCTTTCAAGTTTAATGCGATCACTCAACGAACTTTCTTCACGACAAAACCAGTTCCGCAAATGCAATTAGAAAGCTTCTGGTGCCTCATCAATATCACTAATTGTACTTTTCCGTTATTAATATGCGCTTTTTTGCGTTTGTTAAATGCAACGGGCAAGGTTTTTCTTGCTGCGTACACATATAAAAACATTGATAGAACTTTTAATATGCCGCGACGAAATGTACTCTCAGACGTCATCGATGATTCGTTTCACTAGGTATGAAAACGGAAAATAATTGTAAAAATGGTTGCCTTGAAACTTTCAACCGAAATTAAAATTTACTTAACAGTCGCAGTGTCTAAATTTAATAATGGCAATTGAGAGTCAATGCACCGTTTCGGAGCATTTTTTTTTTTAAGTAAAATGCTAAGTGTCCCGAATTACATTCGAATTAACATGGGAAACTCAATATCTTTGCTCGCGCGATTTATTCAGCTTGCGACAAACCCTTGCCAAAATCCCGCGGTAACGTCATTTTTCGTTCGACGCCGTCGATTTCGTAGAGTCTTTATCGGCTATATTCGCGTCGTTTGGTAGGTAACAGGCAGCGATACCGTAATCTACGATGTAATAGCCGTCGTATCCCGGTCGTAGCCCGCTCATAAAGCGCGGTCGCGATTTCCCGGCTGTTTTGTTTCCCCGCGCACAACTCGTGTAAGGACTCGTACAATGACTTACGTTAATATGTATGAACCAGCCCGGGGATATTTCTGCCGGCGTGTACGTGGATAATGTGCCTCTATCGCTGCCACCTACGCTGCACCGGATCCCGCGGTTTACAACCCCCTCTTTCTTGTAATCCCTCCGTGGGCTTAACGTGGCGAAAATACACGCTAAATCGCGTTCGGTACCGAAACAATGGGCAAGAAAGGCGCGATTGCGCAAAAGCCCGTGAAGTTGAAATAGCGTGGATATTCGCAAATAATATTCTGGGACAAATAAGCCAATCGAACACCGCGATATTTATCAGCGTTGTGCGTAATCTGTTTCTAAACGCAAAATCGATATGTAACCTGCACGCGGTACGTGGCTCGTTAAAGCAAAATAATATATGTATGCAAAACAGTTTTATTTGATTCATTTCTCTTGTATATTTGTTACTCGTATTTATCGGTGGAACATTTTAAATTTATATTAGTAACACAATCGAATATCGCGCCAAAATAATTCAATTACGCGCACTCCCTTGTTGATATGTCTATTAAGTCCCTCGCGTGTTGTCCAAAACAAATTGTTTATACAACACCGTGCATCTATATATTATCGATCATTTAACAACTGATAATACCATTATAAATATGTCTCTCTGTAGTATCAGTGTCCCTCTTTTATACAAGCAGACTATGACCCCGGAAATGCTTGATAAGCAGACTATGACCCCGGAAATGCTTGATGTATCAAATCGATATATCTTGGTAACTTTCACGAGAGCTCCATCAAAGTTACAACCCGGTAAGAGGAAAATCATGCCAGCAACCTATTCAGAAAGTATGTCTATCCACGTGCATTGTTATGCAGCGAGGTCGATGTTGAAATCTATCGATAAGCACGGCTGTCATCTCTACGCCTGGGCGTTCTCATTATACCTTAATCATATACCCCCTCTTCTCGAAACGAGTGAATATATAGCGTATCGATAGGATCTTCGCCAACAATATCATTGACAACAATAGATAAAATTATGCCAATCGTAATTTCTTAGGAAGGAACAAAAAGTATTTAATATTCTGGGTATTCGCATTACCGCAAAGAAGCAAAAATAATATTTTTAAATGTCATTAAAAAACCACACAAAACGGTAAATATATTTGGAAAATATTTAAAATAAAAGATTAATATACACATTTGCATATCAAACGATAAACTTGTTTTTAATAAAATAACTTGTAATTATATTGAATTGTAACAGATATACTTGGAAGTTCAAAGGTCACATATGTGAACTTTAAAAAATTACATGCGAGTTTTAGTATTTTCGTGCTTATCAATATAAAAATTAAGGACTTTTTCATTTCTCTAAATGTTTCGATATTTAAATTGGAAAACGTTTTCAAAAATTAGGCACCGTAAATATTGACAAAATAATCAATATATTTTAAATATTAAGCATGATGTCCATATTGATGGGTACAACGTCCAGTGTGATTATTAGTCGGTACTTCTTTATGAATTTTTTATCACCAGTCAAGTCGGTATGAAAGCTAACATTCACAAATTTTAAATGTGGACTGTAAAGTTATGAAGTCGGCAATATGTAATAAAGATATAAGCCCGTATTCTGAATCCTCTTTCATCGATAAAAGCACCTTTAAAAGTGGCTTGTAGCCAATCACAAGGCCTTATTAGCCACTTGTAGAGGCGATTTTATTCATAAAAGAGGGTTCGGAATACGGGC